GACACATTTTAGATTATTCTGAAATAATTCTAACCCGTATTTTGCACACATATATGCAACAAAGATACACAGGCAATTTTTGAAAATATAATCTTCATGCTAAATATAATCATTTTGCTCTTTGCATTTTCTCCCTACTTCACAAATATGTAAGATCTGCCCTTTGACCAAAGAAGTCCTTTTTAATGTACAAGACAGAGTTGCACATTTTCATCACTGTAATGCGCCTAACATACAAAAACAAGGACTGAAAAGGAGAAGTGGGAGATTCTGAAACAGCAAATGAACAAGTCCAGCTCATTCCACTGTGGCAACGAAAAAACAGTTTCCTGACCTGAGGCCCTACCATAAGAGTTGGGCTAACAGGCCAACTTAAAATCATGTCATCCTAGCCAACTGCTGCAACTACAAGTAAGTTTAGAGATACAAATCCACCATCCTCTGGAGCATGGAGTTCTATAGTCCTTTTGTTCTGAGTTCTTATTAGTTTACAGAAATACTTCTTCTTGGATGGGAATAATCGTTGTTATTGGAGAAGGATCTGTAGATCTCGGATTGGCCCTTTCACAAATGACATAGTGGACAGCGTTAATAGAGACAGTCCCGGTATCTTTATCTTATCATGACTGAAGTCATGAGTAAGGTAACAGAAATCAAAATATTTTAAATCAATTTATGTGGGCCATAGTTTTATCATTGTTACAGACAACTGAAGATCACAACACAATTTCTGCTGGCTGTAAATCTAGACCCAAATCTGCTAAATGTTCTTCTGGTAAATTACTTTGAAATAGTTCTTAGGGAAAAAGTTTTTGAGGAGGAGGTGAATGAAAAGAAAGATCACTTTGGACAGCACAGAAAGATACACAGGAATGACTGGTAGAAGAACAGAAACGCTCCACCTAAGATCACAGTTTGCAACACGCCATTCTTGAAGTTCAACATGCTGCTCATTAAATTAAGCTTTTGACTTAACCAAGAAGTACAGGATGACCTTTGCAAAGATGTGAGGGAACACGGCAGGCATAAAATCACATTCTTAAAAACTCCCACTGGTATCAGAATTGTACCTATGAAGGCTGACATTAAGGAAAATCCATTCTCCAGATTCAGTCTTGCCAGCTGGTTTCTGGTCACCATCTCTATCACTGTCAGGTTTCTGACCTGCAATAGCATGTAACAACAAGCCTAAAATGTTGTACCCCTGCACCTTTAAGAAAAGGAAGTGAGAAAAGTTCCATTTCCAGCTATTCTGGGGAGGAAGAGAGATCATCCCAGGTTATCTTACTGATTAGTCACATCAGATACTGTAAATGTAGATTCTGCTCACATGGAGGAAGACAAGTATGAAATAATACATTAAAAGGAAGAGAGCTGAATTTCTTTCAAGATGACTCAGATATTGCAGACCTCAGAACTGCACAGTGTCCTGTTTTTACTGCACTCTTAACCCCATTTAAATGCCAGCATCTACCCACATAACTCAAACAGCATTCAACAGCTGCGAAAAGACAGCTGTCAGCATTGAGGAGGCTCATTGAGTACCTTGCCAGTGGCAAGAGCACAAAACGAGGGAGCCCACCACACTGTCACTCAGAACTGACGACTCCTTTTATTGAGCAGGGACAGGGCTCAGAGAGAGGCTTATTTAGTCTCTGATCTTGAATGAGTGTCACAGCCTGGAGCCTTTCCATACTGTGGGTTTTTCTGGGGCCAGAGCAGGAGGAAAGGTCTCTCTCAGAAACAGCTTTGGGGGGGGGGGGCGGGCGGGGCGTTTCCT